TTTGTTGTTTTTGGTTCGAGCAAATAGACTATTGAAGTTTTTATTTTTTAATTTTTTATTATGTTTGTATACATTAGAGAAATTATTTTCGATATTTTTAAAATAGTTCATGTTTCACTTTATGTGATATATCAATGTGTCGAGGAATTGAAGTGGTAGACGGTACGATTCGTCTGGATCTGATTGCTGAAGAACTGTTCGAAGTAATTGTTGTTGATCTTTTTTCGTTGAAAAGAATAGATTATGTTCTTCATTAACTAATCCTGTTATGACTCTGTATGAATAACCTTGATTAATAAAAAAAACTTTGTCGTTTAGCTAAATAATACATTCCAAGAATATCTTGTGAAACAAGTGAATAAAAAACGCTATTATATTCTTCAAGATGAACACCATTTTTAGATCATAAAATTCGACCAAGTCGTTGTGCTTCTTGTCTTCTTGATTCTCCATGACTTGATATTTGTATTAATATATTAGCATCAGGTAAATCAAATGATGTAGGTACAACTTTTGAAACAAAAATTATTTTCATATTTGGATCATGTTAAAAAATCATATAAAATTTGCATTAGTTTTTAAAGCAAACATACTATCAGAAAAGACGATTATTTTATTATCGTGCCTATCATGATAACATAATAAAAAATCACATGCACGGTATTTATTCAGATTCATAATACACAAAAGTAAACGTCGATGTTTATCATTTTTAATTGATTCATACTCTTGAAAAAATCCTGGTGTCATACGACACCATACTTCACTACATTGAACTTGAGCAATATGACCTAAATTTTGTAATTCCATCCAATTAACTCCATATAATTTAGGTCCAATTAAAAAATTTAAATCGACTATTTTATCATCTTCTCTAACTAATGTTGCTGTGTAAGACCCACTTTTGTATGAGCACGTATAATAGTTAAAACTTTACGAAATTGTTCAACTGTTATTATATGAACTTCATTAAAAATCATTTTATCCAATTCACAATCTTTAAGTGTTTTTGCTCCATCTGTTATCTCATCATTACATCGTTCAATCATTGGATAAATACTATTACATAAATATGAATCATTTAATTTTTCTTTATCACCTGAAATAAATAATTGTACATTGAAATCATCAGTTGTTGACCAAATTTTAAATTGTTGTTTCCATTGTTGTACAGAAACATTTGAATTACAAAGTACTAAACAACTTTTATTTATTGTACGTACTAATATATTAGCTTCTTTTCGATGTACATATCGAATCAGAAAAATTGTTGGAATAAAGTTTTTACATGATATTTGACGTAGTCAACTTTCAAATAAGTTTCATTATATATCCGCTATGAGATATTAAGAACAAAAAATATAAATAAGACACTCCGGTAATGATCAGTCTACCGGTTCTATCTATGGAATAGGAAATGACGCATGGATTTACCTACGAGGAAACCACTCGAAATGATGCTTGTTGTTTGAGCTCATATTGGATCTATAAGAATACCTTGGTGGGACTACAGCAAAAGTCTAAAAGAGTTCATTCTCAATGAACCTTTGAAGAGGAGCTACGATCGTTTTACTGAGTTTTCGATTCAGCTGTAGGTATTGATCAAAAAACCAAAAAATAGAATTTCGATATGAAATTGTGCTCATAGATAGGTGTAATGATTCGTAGAATATTCGGAAAGAATTTTTTTTTTTGAGATATTGGAGCTTTCAGAATATTCTATGGATCATCATTCGACCTATATATGAGCAAAGTCTTTGATTGAAATTCTGGTTTTTGATTTTTCGGTATGTATGCAAGGTCCATGAAGGGAAAACCTTTTAGGATTGTTCTGGTTTTATCGAGAGCTTATTACAGTGCGGGTTTGAGTGATATTTATTTTTTGACACACCCACATCCACACCCGTTCTGTTCTTATACATAATGTAGATGGAGGCAAGACTACAGATGACAACGGTTATATCGAAAATTGTTTGAAGCCTTTTGTTAATGAGATATGAAAACAAACAGAGACATCATATGCAAAAAGTACTAAATTGTTTGACGATCATTGTTGACTTCATACTCATCCAATATTATTAACTATTTAACAGAACAAGAAGACATCAATATAATATCATTTATACCATATTCACCAGATCTGACACTTTGTAAGCTTTCGCTGAGTAATTATATTGAATGCAGTTTAACTGATTAAATAAATGAACTATGATTTGCTCATAAGGTTTCTAAAGTAGTTAAAAATATTTGTGAAGAAGAATTTAAAAAGATTTTTAATTAATTGTTCTATTTTTATATTAATATTTAATATTGCCGAAACTTTCGGTCAATCCAAAGTAAGAAGCTATGTGACTCAGTCGTTGTAGTGTCGTTAAAATAAGATATTAGCCCAGGGTTGACTGGAATACGCGTCTATCTTGGAAGAAGAATCCGTAATGACCTTCGCCAATTGGCCATTGTATATTTGCAGCAGCACATCGAGGAAAAGTTTTCGAACGACGCTGCCATTCACGAGCTATTAAATCAATACCGATTATGTTTTGGAAGAAGGTATATGAAGCGAATTCACCCCATATTGTTCTTGATCTCCATTTAGTGTAAGCTATTGCATGTGTACAATAATGTATACCACGACAGAATTGAAATAAACCATCGGCAGAACGTTGAATGTTGGTTTGATTTTCCACATATATTGGTCCACATGTACCAAGATACAGAATGCCATCATCTTTCGCCATTTCTAGACCTTGTTCAATAATTCCTATCGAAAAAATGATATTCATCACAAGCGAGCAATCTATTATTCAATAAACGGGAGCTTCATTCGAAATACGAACTTCGAGCTAGAAGGAAAGCTTTTAGAATAAAAGTGAAATCTAAATCTGTTACGTCAATTTCTTTATAAACTTTGTATTGGACTTCCAGACTCATCAGAACTCTACTATATTTAGATCGATTGATGATTGAAACATTACTATAAAGGTGGAATATAACTACATAAATGGTATACAGTGACTTCTAAAATTATTTGTAACATATCAGATCGATCCATGTACTACTCATCAAGATTTTATTAAGGACGCAATCACAGCATACCATTTCCACTCTTTCAGAATTATCTCGACAAGTTTTTCTTTTTCCGAACTTCTCTGTGCTAATTATGATATAGAATTTTATTTCACAGCATTCCACTCGAAAGAGCTAATGATTTTCTATACGATGATTCCATTGTATCGTCACTTTCTTCGAAGGTGAGTGAAAAAAACAGTGGCTTGAAGGCTCATAGTAGAAATTTCAGATAAAGAAAGCTATACCAGATGGTTCCTTTTGCTAATATTTAGCTTATTCAGTATACTAGCCGAATAAATCTTTCATGTTGGAAAATTGGATTGCTCGACCTTCAAATCGGCATCAGACACACACTCAGGACTTGTATATCTAATTTACCCATTGGAGAAGGTATTTAAATTTTCTTAAACAGATGTAAAATTCTAGAGAATCTCTATCTCTACAAAATTCATACATTTGAAATCAAAATTGGTCATATGTTCTCAACTTAAATACTTATGTCTTGCTGTAAATATCAGAAGAAGAAAAGTTAAGCGTGACCACAACTACAGGCAGCATTCAGATTGCACGAAAGAAATGGCAAACTAATTAAATATCTTCAACGATGCGTAAATGAAACAATAGAAGGAACTCAGTGTGTGCTCGAGGTAAATATGGAGGCCGACCAATACAATTTTTCAGCATAAGAGATTTATTTTTTAGCTAGAATTGTAGACATTTTCAATGTCTTTCAGAATATGCATTTGGTTTCAGCTTTAGATGAAGTTTACTGAATGAAAAACAGTCGATAAGAAGTATCACGATAGTTCTGATTTTCTTTTTTGTAGAGTGACATTGAAATCAATAGCATTTCTCTTGAACAAACTTCACTAGAATAAAGTTAGTTGGATATCAAAGAGAAATCATGGGAAAATAATTTAATAAGGAGAATAACTTTCTTTCATAAGTTTTCTTACAGAAAAACTTTCAGATAAAATTTTCATGATGTTTATTAAGACTCAGGCATATGCGAAGATAACATACAGAAGTCGCCTCCTACAGAGAGAATTGTTCGGAATATATTGTTTTCCCTAGCTTTTAAAATGAAAAAGAGAAAAAACAAAAATTCTGCTTTCTTGTTAGATAATTTTTGTAGCCACTATCGGTACGATGTTTGACTTAAATGCTACGAACAATGATACAAATCTGAAATCTTTTCTGCGTTCATTCTTTGAGACCATCTGCAATATACGATTGCAACGCATGTTCTTTACTAAAGAGTTTCTAGGTGGTTGGAAACAGACGTCTTCTCCATAGATCCCAATTTTGGTATTCTGATTCTTTAAGTGGTTGAACTGTTGCTACTCTAATAAGCTATTAAATTCTACTTCTCATTTTATTATTTCATCAATTGATTCTTAAAATTCTTATTCATCAATGCAAATTTGATCATCGCGAGCTATCCTGAATTCATCCTCAAATTATACTTCGCATTCCATTGAATTACTAGTAGGGCATGACAATGAGGATGGGTTTTCCAGTTCAAAAAACTATATGATAAAGATAAATTCACTATGATTCCCGTATTTGTATCAAGATTCAAGTGTTTTGAAAATTGTCGTTATATTAATTTAAGCACTCCCCATATAAATTCTTATAAATGTTCTATTGTATTACCATTCGATCAAATGCCATTTTATCATCATTTCTGATCTAAATTGTTCGCTTATTAAACTGAAACATGTATAGTTTCAATAACAAAATCTAGCAGTAAGAAAAAAAGAAATGCAGTAAATTTATGATCAATGGATCATGTATTCAATGCAATTTTTTCAAGTTCTTAATGATCCGAACTTCAAGGTTATGTGGATATGATCAATAATAACTACGTCCATACTTACGGAAATGCACAACATTGTTACATACCTTTTAACGAATGGCGTGGATCTGTATAATTCCATTTTACAAAAATCGATCCATAAGATCCTTCGATGGCTTTAATATGAACTATGTTGACGTCATCCTCGAACAGAAATATCCAATCATTATCTGCTAGTTCAGAATTCGGTTTTGCTCCTATCTCCTTCCATAAGTCCACATAAGTAAGTATAAGCGATAAAAATCCGATGTGAGCATGAACATTAATTCGTGAATCGTTGCGTGAGACAGGATCTTTCTTTTTAATATCAAAGTAATTCGGTAATGCCGTATTCAAATTTGTTCTTGTGAAATTAAAGCGTTCAGATGTTGAAGATATTATAAAGGCTAGGTACGGCGGACCAGAAGCGTTTCGAAGCTGTATCGAGCGCGAATTATGCAAATGAAATGCTTTACAATCAGTAAATTTGTTTTGCAGACTTATGAGAATAGCAAAAGTAATACAAATTATACCCAGAATAATAATTCCGTTAAAAAAATGAGAGAATCTATTCGATTTGCTACTGTTTTTGACATTCAGAATCATACCATGAACATTGCCCATTAAAGCCAATCCTTGGATAAAAGGCATCTAAAAGACACAAGAAATGGGATGTTCGTGTGGTCAGAAAGTTTCTGTGCTGACTAATAAGAACTAAAAGTCACCAGCATTAACCACTAACTTTTAGTACTCATAATTACCAGCTACCAATGACTTGGTAGTAGATAGCTGGATAGTTATCAGTTCTGACGTAAAATAGTGACAACTCTCTGTTCCTGTATGAAATACAACAAATACGAACGGATGATGTATTATTGAAGATGTATTGATAGTTAACAACACAAAGTTGTTCCGTTGTCAGGGTTGCAACTATATAAGACACTACCCATAGTTTTCCAACATAGAGTACTTCAAATCTTCTGATATATATCGTACTTCTAGAGTGCGACGAGTAGTATTAGCTGTAAAAACCTTACGCCTTTACATACTTCCCTCAAGAAATAAGAATTTCAAAAATTAATCAGGGTTTCGCTCCTAGCCCTGTAGTGCTAAACTTCACGAGATCTTTCCTTCATTATTTGTTCAACACATTACGGCAAAAACTCCACTTTAAATTACAAATTATTTGTTTACACTTGTTTGAGTTCAATTGTCATTGCACTTTTTTCGAATCATTTGCAGTGTTACAGGACGAAAATGCTATGCCCTTATAACAATAGATATGAATTTGTGATTCAGAAGAAGATCCACATCCACGCCCAATTTCGAACGCCATGGAAACTTTATCGCATCTAAGTGTTGTTAGTCAAAACCTACATAATCAAGAATGCTTAAGGACACTGAAAATGTGAAAATCTGAATTGTTTGGACCGAATGATTGACGACAGAATTCCGAACTTTCTTAAGAAGTATCCTTCGTATCGATTTTGGCGTAGATTGATTCGACGCAATTAATATTGCTATCAACATATTAAATGCCAATAAGGTTACTACAAATCAACAAGTAATTGATGAAATTTTGATAAGCACTTACCTAATCGAAAAGATTATAATTGCAAGTGGATGAGAGTAGACGGCTTACTAACAAAATCATGCAGAAATTTATACGTGAAAAGAGTGGTTGCCTATGCTGCTTTGTGCATTAGTTGTTACAATGAATTGTTTTTTTTTTTGAGTTTCGTACTTCACTTTCTTTTCGTTCTTCATTTATGTAAACAGAAAAAATAACTAATATACGGTTTCTCCTGAAAGAAAAGAAATCTGAGCATGTGAGAGTGAAGTGAGTTTGAATGAGTTGTGTGCGTACGGATGAAAGTGGAATAAGAATTCGAAGTGTCACTTTATCTTTACTTTACCGAGTAAAGTTAAGTTAAGTTACTTTATTCACAATGGAAGGCCATGCAATGAAACTCAAGTACATTGAACATATTTGAGTCAAATTAAAAGTCTCACTGCCAAACTAACCAATCTAAAATATGATGTGCTTATGGCGTGTCTGAATTGAGATATTCGAATTTTAAAGTACTGATCGTCTATGTAGAGTGCTCACAATTCAAAATTTCTGAAGACTTTTGCTATTGTTTTTCATGATCGTTGATTGAAGCCCATTGAATTGCATGAAAGAAAGGCATGGGTCATATTCAATAAGAAAATTTTACGAAAAAAAAGTTCAAAATTCCATCATTTTGAAATAAATGAGAAAATATACTGAAACTTGCGTTTCGTAAAATTTCCTTAGTGAATTTGAATTGTGAACAATATACATAGACGATCAATACTTCACAATTAGAATATCTCATTTCAGATACGCCATAAACATGTCATATTTTAAATTTGTTAGTTTAGCAGTAAGACCTTTAATTTGACTCGAATAGGGATGCAACGGTAGCTGTTATTAAAGATGCACTAATTCCAACTTTGATCTCATTCGAATTAGAATCAGGTAAAAACGCATAGTTCCACTGCATAAACAGTTACTTTACCAGTTACTGGATAATAGAATTTTTTTTCGATTGGATTATTTGATTAAGGAAAAGTTATTATGAGAAAAAAACGATATTTTATAAAGCTTGATCAAAGATCTAGGGAGTTAAAATATCTGAATTCGCAATCTATTGGTCAAAATTTTTACTTTGGCTTTTTTTTTAATCAAATGAGGGGTTCGGAAGGAAATAAGGACTTTATAAAGTCTCACAAAACGTTTTTACGGTAGAAGTAGTTGTAGTGACTAGTAAAATACAGGATTTCGAGAAACAGATTGCGAATTCTGATTCCTCAATCTCAAAAATCTTTGGTCATACTTTATACAAATTCGTTATTTTCCCATAATAATCTTGCTTCCACCAAAGAATGAAATTCAAAAATTTTCGATTACTCACTAACTCTCATCCTAACGGTAGCTTGTTGCCTCTATTCAATTCCGATTTTTACTAATTGAAATTTCGATCTCATCAATTCCTAATTCAAATAATTCCGATGGTGTGAGTGTGGGTATCAATGAAGTAGAAAAGAACACGAACATCCATCCACACCAACACAGCTACAAACATAACTGGAGAGAGTGCAATATAAAACATTTTTTACAACATGAAATGTCAAAATTAAAATAAAAACATTGGATTTTTTCGATGTTTTCTCATGTAAACACAACCAGAAAAATGAATAGTTATAAAGTAATAAAGTGAAGACATCCATCAAATATTAATATACCAAAGATACAAATGTTTGAAGTCAAAAGTGTCACGTCTTTCAGCATTACCAATTTCAGAAAGAGAAATAGAGAAGAAAAAATGAATTTGCGGCTAGATTAAAAATAATCTACAGACTATGACATGCAAGACGAAATGACATAGAATGAAAAATAACAAAAAAAAACTGAATAAGTTTGTTAGATTATAGTTGTCGGCAGTATGTTTCAGTTCAAATTGTGGCAGGATCGAAATGATGTTTATAATCATTCGAAGTAGTGATATAGTCGACAAATTTCTCTTTCGGCACACTGAAAACGAAGTAAGATAAACAACGAAAATAGAAAAAGTAAAGAACAATCACTCACAGACCACCACCATTATCAAGCTTGTTCCAATGAGATTCCCAATTAGTAGCCATTGGCTTCGACGAGTCAGTCGATGTTGTTGCCTTCGAATTTACCCAACTAGAACAAGAAATGAGAAACATATTCGATGAAAGAAAGACTAAAATGAAGGAATACTAACTTATTATATCTATTGAGACGATTGAACACTCGTTCACCGTGTTCACGTGTGATAAAACCTGTAAATACACAGAGGAATAACAACAAATCTAAAAAAGAAAATAAAGAGTTTTTCTTACCAGGTGTTGAATTGTCTTGATCCAAAATATAATTAAATCGATCACGAAATGTAACGCCATTTATCGATATACTTGGATAATGAGTGAGCATTAGATAAGCTTCAGCAAATTCTATTAATAAGCAAATATAGATTGCATTTCATGAAAGATATCATTGAAACATTGATTTACCTTCGAATGTCAGCTTTCCTGAATTATACAAAAATAATTAGTGAAACAATTTGATGAAGATCATACCTGTTTCTTCATAATCATAAGTTTCAAATACATGATCCGACATCTTATTCAACTCGTGTTCAGTGTATAATGGTGGTAGACCACTGGGAAGACTACTTGGTTCACTATTTACGTACATTTTCTTGAATAGACGGCGAAATTCTTTCTTGTCTATTTTATTGTCGTCTCCTGTGACAGTAAGAAAATCTTTATAGATTTTTTCGACCATCGATAGAGGAACACCTAAGTTCATCGATAAAGTTTTTTTTTTTTGAACAATGATAAAGAGAATAGTTGAATATTTACCAGTAACATTACTGAATTGAACCAAATCCCATTCAGTAAACAGTTTTTTCGAACTACGACCACCCATTGTAATGATTCGAGCGAAGAGAAAAATATCTAATGATAAAAATAAGATTGACAGTGAAGAATAGTAATCTGAAGTCAAACGTGTGCTTTTATAAGATGAAAAAGCGACGCTATTCTCAGTTTTTTTTTCTTTCTTTCTTTCTTGTTTGTTCCAGAAACGTTCTCGTGAGCGAAGAATAGCGCCAATGCGCGGATGGCTTGCGTTTCACATAAAATGACTAGCTACCATTGTTCTTCTTGAACCGACGAGAATAGAAAAAAAATGAGAGTTTCGTCGTTCTCTGCCTTGGCATTTAGTCAGAAATAGCTACGAGCAAGAAAGAAAACGAGAAGGAACGACACAAGTTGATACTATCTTTCTCTTCCTTCTCCAGTATGATAGCTCAGATTTTGTTCTTTCTATAAGCGATTTTATCTTTCCAACATTGTGATGAGTATCGTTTCTATATCGATCTTCTAAAGAGTTCTAATATCTTATCTTGATTTGGAATGAGTGTATAATCGCACTTTGTAAATAATACGAATACTCTCAAATTCAAAACAGAATACTGTCTTAGGCTAGATTTTTCACTCTATTGTTTTTTTTTAATAATGTCATCGCTTCGAATAGCATTTCCATTGCAGGCTGAATTTGATACACTGTCAGTGGAAATAGATATATGCCACTTCCCAGCTGCATACCTAAACTAAAATGATATTACTATCAGAACTGAGTATCATCATCAATGTTATGTTGTCTATGTCAATGATTTCGTAAAGTTGCTTGAGTAACTATATGTTTCCTATAAATGTAGTTAAATCACTGCATTAACCGATTAAGCCTGAATTAACTATTAGGATATTTGTTGAAGGACTGATTATTATTATATTTCCGATTAGACAGCAGCAAAGTGTTGTGCTGCAAGTTGAACCAACTTTATAGGTTCCAAACCATGTTTATGCTTTGTAAGTAACGATAGTGAATATAAGAAAGAAAAGAGTAAGTGTTATCAATGATTTTTATTTAAAAGGCTTGTTAGTATAACCATTATGGAGCTAAAATGTGGAACTCACGTATTTTATATAAGTTAAGAGAGGATTTAGTACAAAAATTTAAAGATGAAAGAAAATAAAATGAAACAAATAAAATGTTTACAAAATAAAAGATTTATTTGTTTATTAATAGTGATCAATACTGCTAAGATAAGATTAAAATGTTGTTTGTAATGATTTCCTATATTATTAAATTCTTATTACTTTTTACCACAGTAGAACATTCATTCATTTCTTATAAAAAAATTTATTTTCTTTTTTATCAAATACTATTCCTTGTGCTTTTGTCATATGATGAAGGCAAAAAAGAAAATCTACAAGAAAACTCAAAATTGACGAACTAAAATAAATCAATATATTGAGATATCGACGTATATACTCTCTATTTTGCTGTGCAAGATACTTTTTCATTATTGAAAGTATCATTTATATCATTCATTCAGAACTAATAACACGTTTATTCCTTCAATAGTTAGCTATGATATTTACTATTTCAATTCATAATTACATTAGTAATTGAAGATTACAACAATCAATAGCGTTAGATGTGTTACCATCTACTTCAAAAATTGAATATACAACTTTATATACTATATAGTTAAATGTATAACATACTATAGATGTAACAATCAGTTACCTGGAAAAACTCGGTATACATCGTCAATTATAAATATTGCACGCGTAGTAATCTATTGTAATAACAAAATTGTTATTTTTTTTTTTTGTTTATCAGATGGTGAAAAAATCGGTTTTATAGAAATCATATAAATTTCAATATGTAAATTCAATTGATATTAATAAGAAAATGTTCATTTTCTTATTTTGCAATAAAAAAATGCATGATAAACAAAAATAGATATTCAAGATTTTATTTCATCAATGAATATTTGTCACTTTTAAGAAATATACATAGAAGTTAATTGAAAGAAAATAAATGCTGACCAAACAAATAAAATAAAAGCAAAAATGAAGCGCAGAATTAATTAGAAAAATATAACTTAAACTGAACGTATAAATGTTCCAAATTCAAGTCTATCAATTCTTCCATCATGATTAACATCAGCATAATCAAACATAGCGCCAGCCGGATCATATTGATTATTTCTTCTAGCAACATTAGGTGCACCAATACCAACATCAGGACCAAGACCATATGTATGAGCTTCTTGTCGTGGATAAATACCTCTTGTATATCTTTCATAATTTATTGGATTTTCTGTAAAACCAGCAAGAGCTACATCAAGACCAATTGGATATATTGTCGTTTGACCTCCATTGGATGCTTGTAACTATATTATATGAATTTATTTCATCGATATTATTAACAGAATAAAGAGAGTGAATACTTACATTAATATTTTGATAATTTATATTTTCAGGTAATCTTCTATAGTCTCTAACTGGTCCAAGAAATTGTCGAAATTCTTGTTCATCAATTGTTCCATCATGATTTAAATCAGCACGATTAAATTGACTTTCGATTCTTTGTTGTTCACCCATTTTATTTTTATGTATAAATGCTTGATATCAATTGACTACTTACTGAAGAAAATCTTCACTGTATATATAGGTAACCTATGACGTCTATAGCTTCAATCAACCAGAACGAATATCGTCATTGATGCATATTTTACATTTTTTTATCGTGTAATCGGTATAGTATTTGAATAAAAACGCGCAAGTATGTATGACGTTTACATAGATTATTTCTTTTCTTTTTTTGTTTCTTGTTAATCAAATAATATTGATTTCCTTCTTTTTTGATGGTTAATCATCATTCATGTTTATACTTATTAACTCAAATTATATTGAATATTACAACACACGTAATTATTTACTTACTACAAAAAAATCAAAAATATAGGTTAAATAAATAAGAAAAATTAAAAAAAAAAGTACGATTATTATAATATGGTATTATGTGACTGATTTATTAAACATTTATTCGAGAAAAAGTAATATAAGAAAAAGATTGTTGGTGCAACTTCTTTGTCAATGATATGTCGAACACATATGTCTTGATTAGATTGATTATATTAATAGAAATTTGTCAATCTGTAAAATCTGTAAAAGATTATTGTTATTTTTCTTTTTTATTTCGAACAGAAATATTCTTCTTTTTTTGTTTTAGGGGTGCCCTACTTTTTCAATTATATTGCTTATATTCAATCATTATTGTTCTTTTTCGCATTTCGTATTTCTTTATTCAACTTTCCTATTATTATAAACATTGGAGGGACTACCGGGACTTATTTTTTCGGGATTTATTCTTTCTAGAAGACTTATTTCTTTATTGAGGATTTATTCTGATTTATCAATATTAATGCTATCCCAGTATACTCACACCCACACCCACACCCACTCCCTCACCTACATCCACACCCACGCCCTCACCCACACCCACACCCATACTCACACACACGCTCATCCACATTCTGTATGTAGCGAGGAAATGTATGGGATTTATCTCAAAGTGCTTACGAACTTATTGAAAAATCCCAATAAATCCCGAAAAAATAAGTCCCGGTAGCTGCTGTAACATGTCACAAACCGTTTTTTTTGACCTGCAAAATGAATAAATTCATAAGAGATTTTTGCTTAGCAATCAATTTTTGTTCCAAATGTTTTCTCGAGGTATTAGCACAGTCTCTGTTTCTTTTGCAAACACAGAAAGAATTGTAACATATTATACTTCCACAAACGCTTTCTAAGGATTTGTCAAAGGAACGAAGTGTGTTATAAATCTTATCGATCAACTATCGTTTTCCTTTCAGATGTTGTTTCCTAAGAAGCAATGGGATCTATTCAGACTAGAAAATACTTGATGGGATTCGCGATAGTAAACTGTTTTTCTCAGGATATGAATATTCAGCTGGCATTATAATCATGCTAAGACAATTCCAAATAATTGAATGGATGGATATGGGCTCGTAATGTATCGTTCTGTGAAATACGATTGAAAATGAGCATTGAAGTATATAGCAAGAACATTGGATCCACGTTCTCCTCAACAGATTGTGATAGACATGTCGATGTTCTTTTTTTTTTGGCTCCGTCACAGACTGTGACAGGCAGGCGACATGATCGTATGCTTTTTGGACCACAGTGTTGTCAACTTTTTGAACCTGCAGTGGCTGAATTATCAGCGAATTTTTTGATTTCTGAATTGATATGCAACGCTCTAGTCCTAATATATTTTATCTTTGGGTGCAATATTTTAATCTTAATTACAGACCGTCACACACAGTGAAAGTTTATTCTTTCATGGACTTGTTATAGATCGTTGCGAAAAAAGAAGTATCTTCATATTAAAGTTATGACGGCTCTATCATGTTTCACATTCTAATCCCATAGGATTCGCACTACAACTTTTTTCCTGAAAGACGGGTTTTGAAATATTCGCATAGAAAATAAGCGTTTTAATAAAACCTAGAGGTGTTTTACTAAGTTTCTGCAGAAATAAAATTCCTCCAAGTGTAATGAACTATTGACTAACCGGCAAATGACACAAAAATTGATATTTAAAGTACATACATATGCAACTGTCGAAATAGACAAGAACAATAAAATACCTTAGCATATCCAACAAAGTATCGAGTTTGTGTTATTATTTAATATAAAATAATCAAACATTTAAAGTTAGAACTAGGACTTGGGAATTACTCTCTTCATATATATCGAAAAAGGCTAAAAATAGTGAAATATTCTAGAATTTCTGTTCTAAAACCGTTGTTCGTTTTTTTTAATCGCGAAACTTAAAATTCTCGGAGACCGTTGATAATGCCTACTACTTCGATATTATAAGATATCTTTCAAAATGAATTCTCAAAAATAAACAGTTTTCGTAATTCTGGTGTAAGGTATCGAGATCCTACTATTGATATGTTTTTAAAGAAAATAACTAGGCTAATATCGTAGCCTATATTGAACTTGTCATATCTATCTGGTTTTATTCTCTCCAAAAATATCATAGACTTAAAACCGACCTTATAGTCTATACTACTTCCAAAGAAGAGAACTCAAAGTTTTCTTGGCTCCTATTATCGTGAGTTATGTATATAGTCAACTATTAAAATTATACTCACCTGGATAGAACTTGATGAATAATATTTCTGATCCATTACAAGAAGATATCGTCAGTATTTATATATATATGTCTTGCTCCCATCTATCATACTTGAATAAGCAAAAAACACTCAGTTGTGTATAGATTCTGCTGTTTAGATTTTTACAGAAAACTTATGCAAATAATCTTTTGAATCTTACTGCGATTTATTCTGCATTAATGCTTGATGGATTCCATATCTTTTAAGTAATCACTCGAAAGATTTCGTTTATCGATCAATAGAGTGTGAATGCAGATGTGAATCTGGTTTTTCTTTTCATCCACGCCTTGTACAAATTTCCATTTTTCACTTTGTAATAAAAATGTTAGATCTATGTAGCGTGTTTGATGATTTTAGTTCTATTCCTATTCAAAAATACATTCTTTCATTTGTCTTTAAGAAGTTCCTTTTAGCTATAATGCCAGACAAATATCTTGATCATTATATTGATACCATATTTCTTATGAAACTAAACTTGAATTCAGACAAGCCAATCGTTGTTAAAATATCAGAAAAAAAACACGAAGCACTACTTTAACATAATTTTTGATTGATATGCCGGGTATCTGATAGAGCAATACTCTTCAGTAGTAATCGATAAGTAAGGTTGACATACGAATATGTTTGCCATCACATTGCTATTAAATTGTAATTACTGGCAAGCCTTCAATTAAGGATTTTTCCAACTACTGATGAAACATCATTCCTTTTTTTTTCTATTAGAATGAGTCAATATAGTCTACTCAATTTGATGCTTTTTGTTTGGAAGGCAAACATATATCGCTTAAGCATTTTTTTCACCTGAAGCAAGCATTTTTGTCTATCAGACCCTCGCTGCCATTTACTTTGCACTACTCGTTGTTGATATCGATCATTAAAGGAGAAAATTGGGCAGGTGAAAATATAATGTGGACCAACTATGACTGAATTGCAATGAAAACAGAAATGTGGCCTTTCTTTTTCTTTCCATCTTGTTGAAAAATGTGCGCAAGGTAAGCTGATATTATTTTTCTCGTTCTTTTCTGTATGACCAAATACAGAAAAAAGGAAGAGATGAGTAATTTTGGAAAAAGCATTCGTTATTATTGTACGCATTTTGGAAGAATACAAACATAAACGACAAATCCATTGCACACTCAATTATTCGAAACCACAGATGTGAATACAAGGTAAGATCTCGAGAGAAAATCAGTATACGGTAGAAATTGTCAACACTTTTTCATTTGTCGACTTTGAAATATACCGAAAGCCAGAAAATATTTAAATTTCTCTTCTGTAAGATCGAATGTCTTTTTTTTTATTATACTTACAAATGTAATACTCGGAAGTGCCTACATTATAATATAAGGAGAAATTATAATATTTAAGCGTTAGGCGCAACATAAATGCGATGAGTTTTACAGTCGCCGCCCATATAATTAAACAGAGTATTGAATCTGCTCGTGTGAGTGTAAAAGAGTAATTACAAGAACACAAGAAAAATATTTAAAAAAAGTCATAGAAAATTTCAGAGTTTAAAAAGAAACAAGTAAACGAAAGAGAGAAGAGAAAAACAAACGAAGAAAGTCACTCGTAAGCGTTTCATGGATAGGAAAAAGGAAAAGGGAGAAGTGAAGAAAAAGGAAGAAAAAAAGGGAGACGGATCCTGCATGCTTTTTTTTGTATACAACTACTTTATCTCAATAAAGCATATCGATTTTAAGAGAAGTGATTCATGCTTTTCTATCAATTGCCTTACATGATTGCTACGAAAAACTGATCAAGTTGATCGTTCTTTCTTTTATAAAACTTACTCTAAAGAAAAATATCATTATAGAATAGTGAACCACTAAGATCCATTGTGTGCATACATTTTAATTTTCTTTGAATGTAGTGTTTAACGTAAGCCTCTAATGAGAGTTCTTTGGTCATAGTGTATAGATTATGAGCTGAGACAAAGGGGCAGCGATGCATCAATCAATGACCAACTGGAAATTTCTGCTGTGATAATTATTGTTATGACTTGGAAAGTAGGGAGAAGAATGGAAATAATCATGCAAAGTGAGGGTGTGGGTGCGGATAGACCACAAAGTAACACCTACACCCATATCCACATGCAACATGTAAGGGTTTAATGCTAGTGAACAAAGAAAATCTTCTGATGTTCCATATCATTGCCATCATGACACATTGTTGGTTGAGAATAATTTTGCTGCTGTGATTCATACATTGGATACTAATCATTCATACCTGATTCATTTGCATTAGATTGAGCTGTTCGAAAATAATTGCTCGATATGTTTATTTCGGCTAATTGAGAATAATTTAAGGACATAAAGTTGCTCATCCTTGAACTACGAGAGTTACTCGCACGATGTGAAGAACGAAAAGTATGTAAGCGGGCAAGTAAAAATGTGATCGCTCTCTACGAAGTCAGATGAAGAAATGATCGAATATTCCTTACAATACACAATCAGTTCAGTGTGCACGAATTATTGTTCTCTTGAATTCAGTCAGAGGATCGGGATTCTCTGCCGAACAGAGTGAACATATCTGATGGAGATATGTTATCGTGGCAAGTTCAGGATAAATCGACGATTTTCATAACATGAGCAAGTCTATTTCGACTGTTACGTGTTTTCTTTTGTGTGATGTTGTTCTTATCTCTCGGCAAACTAGTCGTAAGTTCTTTAGAGCACGCTGACATTGGCAATTCTAATATGGTAGTAAATCTATCAGGAGATTCTCCTCAATGGTCTGATCGACCATCATTTCCAATTATATATGATACTACTCAAGACGTTGAAAAACTTCGACATGTTGCTCTGACTGGTGATGTACATGCAAAAATCCCCAATGTGAGTCACATTATCAGATTATTCATTAGTTCAACTTTCAAAGATATGAGTGATGAACGAGATAAAATCATGCACGTTATCTATCCAAAATTGGAAAAATATTGTTCATCAAAAGGTTATATTCTGCAAATAGTCGATATGAGATGGGGAATCTTCGAATCAGCTTCGAACGAACAATTAACGACCGATATTTGTCTGGATGAAATCCGATTAGCAAAAGAATTATCCAATGGACCATTTTTTATTGCTATTCTATCTCATCGTTATGGATCGAAATTTTCTCCCCGATCGATTACAAAAATCGAATTTGATCTTTTACTTCAACAATCCAATCAAAATGAAAAGAATTTATTACATACATGGTACGATATCGATAAAAATAATATACCAATTATCTACAATTTAAAATCATTAGAAGACGATGATTTGAAAAATAAATGGGAAACATCCGATAGTAAACTTGTGATAGATCTATTGCGCCGTTGTGCCAATGCTGCGAATCTGAATGAAGATGATCAAATTAAATATACTCGATCTGTGACAGAAATCGAAATTCAAGAGGGAATATTCAAAACAGACGATTACCATTTCCGATGTTTGGCATTTTTTCGACATATCCATGTTTTTGATCAGATCAAACCTGGAATTATTGATCCGACATTGATGAATATATTCAATAAATATGTAGATATGAATCCGAATACAAACGAGATCGAATATGAATGTCAACAAATGATTAAAAATTTAAAAGAACGTATTCAACGAAAATTACCCAAAAGAAATGTCAAACAATTCATCGTTGATATCAATTCGATCTCGGAATTAATGCAAAATACTCTTGTTAATGAGAATTTTGAAAATTATTTAATAGAATTTACAGATCTATTCGAACGTAATATAGTGAATTTAATCGAAGCAAATATTAATAAAAATGAAATTTTATTTCATGTTTTCGAAAATTATGCTGATCTATTTCATCATCTTCGATTTTGTCATGAAAAAGTCAAAGGTTTTATGGGACGACATTCATTCATTAATCAGATTCATTCATTATTACTTGAACAACATGCTCAATATATCGTCATTTATGGAATCTCTGGAAGTGGTAAAACAAGTTTAATAGCGAAAATAGCCGAAAAATTAAAAGATTGGTTTCATAATATTAATTTTATTACTGTACTTCGATTCATTGGAACATCAGAAGATTCGTATAATATACAAAATTTACTCTCGTCTATTATTAAACAATTAGCACATTGTTTTGATTTAATTATCAATTATGAAGAAATGACGCCTATTGATAAATTATATAATTATTTTAAGAAATTTTTAATTGAAATTAGTCAAGAATGTGTAGATGATCAGCAAGTATTTATTTTATTAGATTCGTTAGATCAACTCTCACCAGAATATAGTAGTCGAAAATTGGATTGGTTTCCCATTGGTCTACCAAAAAATATTCGTTTTATCGTATCAACATTAAATGATCGTCAATATGAAGCATTTCAAGCTATTCAAAATCTTGTAAAAAATACGTCAAATAATTATATTGAAATCACGGAATTAAATGAAGATGAAATACGATCGACTATTCAATATCGACTTGATCATGCTCAAAGAACTCTGACAGATATACAAATGGAATATTTAGTTGATCTTTTCAAGAAATGCCGTATTCCTTTGTATATTAAACTAGTGATGGATCAAGCAATCAAATGGAAACATTCAATTTCAATGAAGAATATGAGTGTTAGTGATGAAATAAAACCTGCCATCCATGATCTATTGGAAAAAGTGGAACTATCCTATGGAATAGTTTTGGTCGAAAAAGTCTTACAGTATATGACATTGAGTCGACATGGTTTTTATGAAAATTATCTTCAAAATATATTAACCAATGATCCAACTGTTCTCAGATATATTGAAGATGAATTTAAAAATCATAAATTCTCTTCTAGTAGAATTCCCCAAATCTTTCTTATTCGATTAATTCATGCTTTGAGAGAATATCTAAGTGGACCAATGTATCGTTGGTATCATCGAGCGTTTTGGGAAGTTGCGACGGATCGATATTGTCAAAATGATCAAAGTAATCAAGATTGTCATAAAACCATTGTTAAAACTTATCAACATGAAAAATTCAATAAATCCAATCCATTCTGGATGAATGAATTACCCTATCATGCAACATGTGCCAATAATATCGATGAACTTAAAAATAATTTCTTACTCAATCTCAAATTTATGCAAATCAAAGCACAAGGATCTGATATTGATCAACTGATCACTGATTATGAATTTGCTATTCACAAACACAATGATGATCAAACTTTAAGATTAGTTCATCAAGTTCTTCTAATTGCCGCATATAAAATTCGTCAAGATCCATTACAACTTCCTGGTCAATTATATGGACGTTTGTATGGTTATGAAACAAGCAGTGATTTGAAAAATCTACTCGAACAATGCTTATCACCATTGGAAGATGCTATTGTTTCCAGTGGAAGATTTATGGCTGGACCAAATAATCTCTTGAGTAAAAGTCTCATCGCTCACAAAACGGAAATCAAATCTACATTGATTAGTAACGATAATCAAAAAGTCATCTCTTGCTCGATCGATAATTGTATCAAAGTATTCGATGGAAAAACTTTAAAGGAAACATTAACGATTTATAAAAACTATGATTCTACGACGATATTGACTATTTCCAATGATGATACGATTCTCTATGTCTGGTGCAGAATTACAGAAGAAAAACATAAAGGTCAACCGTTGATTGAAGCTTTCAGTCTAACCACTGGTGATCATCTGTTTAATGTCCGTGCAACAATTTTACATGATGATTCGACCAAACATCGGGAAATTTTATTTAGTAATTTGAAAAATGATTTATGGTTAGTGACTAAACATAATTGGTATCATCTAGATTGGCAAACTGGTACTGTTCAGAGTATCCTAAAAATTCCTCAAGAATTCGCCCAAAGATCTGATAAGATTATATGCATTGATAAAGCACAAGAGCGAATTGTCATGGGTCTCGATATGGAACCGATAGTCTTATCTCTCAGTGAAAATGGTAACTATACTCTACGCGATCTTCTAGATCAAACAGTGATGGGACGTCGATTTTTGATCCTACCTAATCTAACATTAGCCATATCGACACGACGTATCTTCAAATCACTTTATGATGATAAAGATATGGAATGGAATATTCTTCTATGCCATCTCGAATCATTAGAAATTCAAAGACGAATTCCAGTGAATAAAGCATTAAGAATGTGGAGATCATCTTTGGATAGTACAAAAATCTTTTGCAATGCCTTCAATTATATCTATGTACTAGACATTGAAAAACGGCAGACAGATTTTATTTTAGAACATAGTTCTCAAATGAATAGTTGTTCACTTCTGAACGAATTAACAGTGATTAGTGCTACTTGGGATAATAAACTTCATGTGTGGAATCTTAGTGAAGCATCATCTCAGAATAGCAATAATGTGAATTTATTTGATCCATTCAGTTCTCGAATGATACAATTTCTCTACGATGAATTCAATACATTATCACGTTATGTATTTGTTTACAATGTTTTCAATGAACATTCGAAAGAATTGTTCATTTTATACGATCTCTCCACACAAAAAATCGTCCGACGATGTCAAATTGATAAATATGTTCGAAATGATTTACAACCAATCTGTTTCATTAGTCAACAATTCGTACTTTTATTCTGTCTTTCGGAGAAAAATTACTACTTTTTAAATATTGATCAATTTACGATAGTCAAAGAATTTTCTTCGGATGAATCACGAGTATTCAAAAAAATCTATTCGAATCAAGTAGTGATGAGTATACGAAATGATCGAGATCATACAAATTCATTGGTTTTACTTGATTGTAATTTGTTATGTTTTGAAATGATCATTCCAATGTGGAATCATATTGAATGGCATACTGCCAATTCACAAACGATTATCTATAAGAATAAATCAAATCCCACTGTATTTATGTTCAAAATTGTTGAGAGACACCTATCAGTTCTATCGCTCGATATTGGAGATGATCCAATAGATCAAATGAAATCCTCGCCCAATGGAAAATATTTGGCAGCTATATATATGATCGATGCTATGACAAAATCCATAAAAGTTTATAGAATAGAAAACACGGAACAAGTGAGTTTATGTTTCGAAAAGACGAATTTGAAACAATTAGGAGAAATGAAATTTGTCGGAGATCAATATTTCGTCTATCAACATAAAGAAGGTTCAAATCGATTGACTTATTGTTATGATTTATGTACGAATACTCTATATTTATGGTTTCAAGATGATGATTCTCAAGGTTTATTTGATTGTCTTAAACATGAACGATCAAAATATATTTGGTATCAACGATATCAAGTTAGCCGAATGAATAAAGTTAAAACTGATATTTCTGTCTTTCATATTCAAGATATATCAAAACCAATTTGTAGTCTCGACGTTGATTGTCGTCTGAAGATCAATCAAGTGGCTTTGTTTGATAATGGAAATGCCATGCTAGTGAAAGTACTTGATAAGCTCGAATTTGTGGCATTTTTTCTCAAATCTAAAACAAAAAACACCGAGGAGAATACAATTCATTTTGATCTTTTTAGACTTAATGATTTGACCACTCAATTAACACTGACAAAAGGCATCTTTTATCAATTTTGTCGAAAGTTTTCATTCACTCATTATGCTATGGAATTTAAATAGCAAATAATATATTCTTTTTGTAAAGTGAAATCATGACTGACAGTACGAGTCATCAATGGATAAAGCACTCTTTTATTGTACGAGAAAGCAACATAGGTAGCGTCTAGGGTCCGAGGTCATTGGCATCGGAAAGAAGCACTGAAACAATACAGTCCATTCACATAGCCATGATTTCCTTAATTATAGATTCAGACGATACCATATACTACTACTATTATCCTCAGCGATAATTTTACCGATAACAAAACAATCAGGAGGATAAATAATATCGCAATCATATACTGCACTGACTGAATCACAATCAATCGCGCTACATGAAAAAACTTGAGGGTATGAGTATTGAGAAAAGATGACATCTACACTCAGATTGGATCTTTGAAGCGAACAACGATCAGGGAGGGTTTTTTTATGTTAATTACTAAGCTTGAGGAGTATTGTTAATATTGGATTCTATCTGTCGATGTAAAGAATCTTCTGCAAAAGAATCATCGATCTGTCCATGAGATTTGAGAGGCGGATCCCATTGGCATGATAAAATGGAAGATGATCTGATTTGTATCTGCGAACCTCAACGTTAATCAAACTGGACTGCGTCGACACTTGAATGGAACGCGGATGTTCAACATTGAATTAGAAATATTCGTCATGTTTACATGGTCGAAGTCGAATTATTCGTGAGATAAGTACAAACTGTCCTCTCATCTACGTTTAAAGAAGAAAAGAGAAGCTACAAGTTGTGTTTTTTTTCTTTCTTGAAAGATGTGTACGCCTGATCTTATCTCTGCCTTCTATTTGAGTCAGCAAAGGTGTGCAAGAAAACGTGTGTCTTATCTTCATCAAACACTCATCCATAGTGTGGACCTTTTGTCGACTTATTGGGTAAGAACTATTCGATTTTATTGTTTGTCAAAGCATAGCTGAGCGATCCAGATGTCTCTCCTCAGTAACTCTTTTGGAGCAAATCTCATTGTCTGCAAACTGTGTGATTCGAATTCAGAATCGTGATGTTTCATTTGATTTATGTGCCGAAATGGACAGTAGATATGCATCTAGTAGATATTTTGTGAAGCTCATTGCGCTCGGTAGTGTTTCTTTTTCCTGGGAATTTTGTTGCGTTTTCAGCAGTCGAAATAATACATGTGACTTGTTAACACCGATTAAAGAGCTGTTTCATTTAGATTGAACGAAGCGATCACAAACTATCGAAATAACTTCGACCAATCTGCTAAACGAACTGACGTTTTTCGACGCAGCAGAAATCGCTACGGGTACAAACTTGAACAATGTCTTCAGACTTGACACATCGAGTTTTGCCTATAAAAGGGGCAGTTCTCAAATTGATGCAACCTGACCATTTGGAGCAAATGTACGAATTGTTTGAGTTGAATCGAGATTATCTTCGTGAACATATCCCAGGCATTGATTCGATTCAAACTCGAGAAGATCTTCAACGAAGATGGATGACGTCAAAGCAAAATTCTCTGCAATTCGGACTTTGGCTGGATGAAGAACTTGTCGGTCGATGCCGTTTGGCACGACATGAGAATTTATCTTGTGCCGAGATTGGCTATTGGCTCTCGAAATTTCATCAAGGTCATGGATTAATGACTGCGGCAGTAGAAGACTTGCTTCAATTTGCTTTCGAAGTTTGGAATGTGCAACGAGTGGAAATTTACTGCGGCGTCGACAATCTCAAATCTCGAGCCATTCCAGAAAGACTCGGATTTGTCAATGAAGGGATACCACTGAATGACCCCGCTATTCAACTCAATGGACAGACGGTTCTCTCCGTTGTTTATTCTCGACGCAATCCAGCTCAGTAATGAAACATTGAAAGAATGAAGAGCAGTTCTCTGAAGGTTGCAATAACGTTTTTTTCTTTAGAAAAAACAGGCTCTTCCTTTCATTCAAAACGAACTGGTACCATACTTCTTTTTCGAAAAAAGGAACAAACGAATTAAAAATAATAATATTTTTAAACAATTAATATAATTTCTTTTCAAAATAAACAAAATATATTGTATTCGCTTTTCGGTGTAGGTAAAGCGGAGACCAACATCCACAACGACACTCGATGTATCCTCTCATATTCACACGCACACTATTATCCATCTTGATAGTTACTCGTAAGATAACAGATACTTTTTTCGGTTATTTGACTATTACTTTTAGAGTATAGCGAGTTTTGGGTCAGATCTATTAGAGATCTCTTTATTCGACTCCTCTCTGTGCTCTCGCTAATGCGAAAACACAGTAATCTGAATCATCAAATCATAATGAATGCCTTTATAAGAAACCAGACAACGAAAAGAAGAAAAAAGAAAGGGTGTTACTAGAAGTGATGTGAAAGCATGTGGCGACATGCCTGTAACAAGATTCCGAAATAGTGAATAGGAAATTTTCAAGGTTAGATCCGATCGGTTCTAATGACAAAGATTAATTTTCTTGTTTATTTAAAATTAATGTTCGAGAATAAGATATTTCGTTGATATATATCAACATTACTACCATAAATATAAGTCCGAACCGACAAGTTTTAGCATATTATTTCGTGCTAGATGATTCTGTCAAGTTTTTCGATGATATTTTTTTTCGGGCCGGGTGTAGATTTGACTGTGGACATGTTGAAAGGGATACATACACCTATCCACATTCTTAAAAATTTAAATGTGTGAAGCCAAGCATAAATTTTTTACTATTCATTTAACTTTCTCATTATAGTCTCATAGCAAAAATGCTTGATAACATTTATGGCACATGTGCATAGTTTCATGTACGTATTCTTTCTACCTGCAATGCTAGTCGTCGGAAGAAGAAGAATATAATGAATTGATTTCGTCAAACACTTGGTAAATCCAGCCATTGTTGTTAATAATGAAAAATCAAACAGAAAGGGTAGGAAAAATTAGTATTTTCACGTCCATAAGTAAAACAGAATTCAGTGAACTACCGCGGTTATCGAATCTAAATACTCCTTCATGTGTAGTACAATCTTCTTTGGGAAAGTTTTTACTGCGAAAGACATTCATTCCTGGATTTACATCAGTTATTTGAATATAGTATTTTCGCTACACTAGTTATGGCATGGCTCGTTAGAGAAATGTAAATTTCAACTAACACGTCCATACTTGGCTCGCTGCTCAATGAATTTTCGTAGAGCTGTATCATTCACAGCAATTACTAGGTCATGTTTCATAGGAGAATTCTTGATTTTTGTATGCAAATACTCTGCCCATTTTCTTGATTATTAATCATGGATCAATGCAAACCCCTAATGTTAATGATTCGGACTCATAAACAATCATTCTCTTTTTATACATCAAGTAACCATTCCTCTTTGCCATGCAACATACTTTTTTTTCTCATACTATTACTTACGATAGAGAGCGAAAGTAAGATAAACAATTTTCGATGACTGAATGACAAAGAAAAATGCATATTTATTTTTGTCGCGAACAAAACATGTATTATCGATCATAGTTTATTGAATTGTTTTTTTTTAAAATATTGATCATTCACATTGACGATCATCATTGTACATATTTTGCTTGCATTGGTGATCCTAGCGAGATCGGAAGTGTACCTGAGGGTACATTTTTAGGAACCAAACTACTTGTACTTGTATTGAATCCACATTGACGAAAGTTGCCGCCGATGGACATGCTCTAAATTAGATTCTCATTGAACGATATAAATATTATATTTCAAAAGTAATTACATTAGTAAACGTATGCGATCGATAACGATAGACATTTGGCATTGTGTGAACTTCAGGTTTGTAAGCACCGTATTCTTGATTTGTTGTTCGATAGAATGGATGCAGTTCAACCTCTCTGTAGCCTTGCCACAAATCTATCAGAAATAAAAAAAAATAAACAAATAATGATTCATGATTGAGAATCTTGTGAAAATAATCATACCAGGTCGATTGAAGCGTTCAGGAATATTAAATGTTCTATAATAATTATTCGTACTTTGGTCGCTCATATTCAATCGGTTTCGATGAACTACCCCATGTGGTTGTAAATATGTAGTACTCAAGTAGGTAGGAACACTATTTGATTGATAGAGAACAGAACCGTCAGGTCCAACTTCCGTGTATTTTGGGAGAGGTGCATTGCGACCATATTGACGGTACGAATCGAACATTTAAAGATGAATATAACAAAAAAAATGAGAATTATAATCTACAATCAAAATAATCGATTCAGCAGCGTTGCATTTGACTTCAAGATCCAAGAAAACGGCATTGTAATCCGTCATACCAGATGACGGAAGCAAAACTAGAGGGAGGAGGGGGGCGCGAGAACTGTGATCATTTTCTAGTCGTCTCAGACGGTCGAAATGATCGATTTGAGTACTTTAAATTTTTAGTTGTACTGTTTGTTGCATAAACTTATTGACTTTTGGAAACTCATATGGTGGCAAGTAAACTCAAATTCATGTTTTCAGAATCAACAGTAACATATAATTTCTAATGACTAAGACGAATAAAACATATTTACTTTCTTGTCTTGTATTATGAATAAATGACGAAAAAAAAAGCGAAGATCTAAGTTAGTTATGTGTAATTGAATTGGACAGACATTCAACTAAAAGTATAATTTCTTCAATATCAATAATAACTACGCATACTACCTAGTAAGATTTGAATTGCTATGAGAGAATTTCATCAACATGTTTTACCTGTCAATTAGATTTCAATTGAAAACTATTCACAATACAAATCGATAGTGCAGTTATGAAGCAAAAAATATTTTCTTACCTTTGCGGCTCCTGTTGTTCACGAAAGAATGCAACTAATTACATTTTATAATGTTTACAAGAAAATAGTCAACTGAATTGTACATAAATTATACTGCAATCGTAATCCTATTTCAATCGATCACTGATCAAACATGGTTATAAATCAATAGAGAAAGTAGTTACTTTTTAAAATTGAGTTAATTATTCGAAACCATCTCATTTTCTAATGTAAATGATCGACACAAATAAACATATGATAATATGACTTCGTATTGTCAGATATTCTGTAAACATTACCTAAGCAAACAAATTTGAATGTTTCGATTTCTATAATGCATTTTTAGTTTAACTAGAATTACAATATTTTAAAACTTTCATTCTCTCTTTCTATCAATGACAATCTAAACGATGATTAATGATCAAAGTTAATCAAAATGATTTATTCAATACTCAAATCATATTAGTTATGCATATAAATAAAGATATTATACATTTCAGAAATTATCATTTTTTAAAATTCATCATAGAATATTTCATTCAACAGATATTAAATTGACTTGAGAAATTATCAGTATCGATTAATCAGTTTTTGTTATTCTATGTGTAGAGATCATCATCTGTAAGAGAATAAGAAGGAAGCTAATGCATAAATCGAGATGAGCATAGGTCTTACCCGACATTATCTACCAAATGTTGATTGACAAGATTATTTTCAATATCTTTGTAAATATGAATAGATGAGTTTTATATCAATTAAGTCGGATTTCATCTGCTTTGAGTTTGGATATAAGATGTCTCACATCTACATACACTCTCATATTACTAAATGAAAACTAATGGATAGAATGATTCGAAGTGATGGTGATCAAGTATGCAACACTCTATTTGATCTCATATGAATGAGAGATGTATCAAACATCAAGTTACTACATTTATTGTGATAATCTAATCTTTGTATTATTTACTATGTTCAGTTATATTTCCATTCGATATCGATAAGAAGATTGATTGATCAGATTGCATTAGTTTTTATCGAATGTAAAAACAGAATGAACAGGATAGAAATTCCATGTCCGACAATATCTTCGAATATCTGTCTGTATAAACAATATTACGAGACTCTTCATGTTTAACTTACATTTGAATCATCGTTACAAAAATTGCATCAACTCGAATAGAATATAATCTGAACAGGATTAGACCTATATAGTTTATGTTATGAAACAAAGCAGTATATTTTCACAACAGAATATCAAAGCTCTGGATCAATTATTATCTTATATTTTATGATTACATTTCGATTTATAAACTTTCTTTGAATTGACATGATGTCCATAAATTCTGTCAAAGCGTAACCAAAGGTCGCTGCCTGTCCTGCTACTTTCATCAATTTCTATATTATAATCGTTAATGTAAAAAAAACACTATTATCATACTCATATAACAACTAAGTACTTTAATTGTATAATTTTTTTCCAGTATGAAGAGATAAATGATAGTCAATCTCTATAAAACAATTTTCTAATTTTATATAGCAACAAAAAAAAAAGAAAAGTCAATGATGAGTTAATATTGCATAATTCGAATATCTTCAATTTAAGAGACTTGCTCACACCGGTATGGTCTAATGGTAGGATACAAGACCTTCAATTTCTATGTCTGGATTAGATACTATTTATACATATTTTTCTGTTGTTTGAAGCATTCGAATAGCATGAAGGTGAGTGACACTTACAACTATATATCCATTACAGTGATTCCTTTTTTCATCCATTTCATTTTTATTATTTCCATCAAGGATATACGTTTTTCAGAGATATATAGAAGTCCCAAGCACTATTTGATAACTTTGGAATTTTCAGGACACAAAGGTTTTCTCCTTCTCTATGCTGCCCTATGGACATCTCTGGGATCTATCACGATACATTCAGCTGATTCATTTTTTGCAAACTCACTCAATGATTATTTTAGTCAAATGAAAGATAGACTATGGCTATTTTATTAGAAAAATCAATAATATAAATTTGGAAACTGGTTCCTCCTGGTTCAGTTTAAATTGTTTTTGATATTAAATAGTGGTAGTTGTTTTTTTTAGATAAACATCTTAAACAAGAATATTCGTTTTTTAATGGAATTTTATAGCGGAGAAAATTTTTCACAAAAATTTTGCCGTTCGGGGAAATTTTTTATTTTATCGACAGATTCTGCCCGCCTGGAAGTAGCCATATAATTTTTCAGAATCGAAGAAAACTTCTCTTGCCCCGCTCGTGCCGTTCCTGCACAGTAGAAGATGAATAGTATTCATATGACCTAATGTGACATCGTCATACAAAGCAGTATAGTTTTTTATGATTAAAAATAAAGAACATTCATTTATAAGTAAAATAAAATATTCAGCATAAATCAATTTGATGAATTTTAATTAAATAATAAAGTATTTCTGTCAAGACGTAAAGATCTATAAACATGACAAAGATTTGTATCGCTTGTTGAACCTTCAATTAAATCTAAAAGAATTGCTGCTAAAACTGAAGATTCAATAAATCCTCCAGCATTTGTGCCAGCAACAAAATAAACTTGTTGTTTTTTATTCTCAGTAGATAATTGAGTGATGATAGGCATTCCATCTGGAGTCATTGGACGAATACAAAATCTTTTTGGAAGAATTTCTGATTCACTTGCTTCAATTTCATCAGATAAATAAGAGTGTATTGTTGAATTAAATAATTCGATTAATTGAGTAAGATAAGGTGATTGAACAATTTCACGATGACCACAAAAAGCAAAAGCACCTGTTATGTATAAATGTTGTTCATCATGACTTTGTGTCACATTTATAACATCGATTGGTTCTTTTTCAGCTATTTTAAATCCATTTTTTATTGAATGAACATTTGGAAGTTTTGTCCAACATTCAAGAACACCTTGGACAGCTAATAACACATTATCTAACAATGAAGAATTCAATGTATTGAGACTTGAAGCCAAGATTATTTTAGATGAAGATATAAGGTGTGGGTGTGGATGCATGAAGAAAGCGAAGATCAACACTCACGTCCATACCCACACCCACACCCACACCCAATTACAAAATTCTGTTATCTCAGGAAAAGAATTAAAAGAATAAATTTTATATATTTTAAAAAATTATATCTGAGAAGTTCAGTTTTTCAAATACCAAACACAAATTAAATCGACAAAATTCATTTCTGTTAGATACTTAAATTTGAACTTGCAAGGTTTTAAATAAAAATATATGAAGAGAAGATCACACTCGTAATTGGATGTAGGCACCGAAGAAACGATAGTTCTTAATTCATTGAAATGGGAAACTGAAAATCTAATTTAATAAGTTTAACCAAAACTCTGAATGACAGTAGAATAAGCACTAGTTTGATTAGATTATGTTAGTTGAATGGTTTGTACACACGTCTTCTACTCTTATGTATCCGTGTTCGAATCCATGTCTTGGCTTTATTATAATGCATGTAAGTTGTAGTTCTAAAGGACTATGAAAAATATAAACGAGTACATGAATTGTATCTGCAACTCACGATATATAAAGTAATTGACGGTTTTCAGTTTTTTTTTCATCTAGAATATACAACACCACTGTTTGAAAAACGTTGTGGAATTTTTTAGAAAAATAATCGTTCCACAGCATCTGTTTTGGCAGATGTGAAACGCATCAAACCGGTCAGCATTAACGCGTTCCATAATCATGGAAAAACGCGTTTTTTTCGCAGAAATTTACCCCATGAGTAACATGATGTACGAAGTAATGATAGAAAGATAAGGACAACACATAAGATGAGAAGGAATAATAAGGGCAGGTCAAACATCATGCATAATACGAACTTAACCGGGAGCGTTACAGACAGAAGTTTTATTGTCAAAAAGCAGAAAGTATGTTTCTGATACCAAAAAATCTTTTTAAGCTTTGATTTAATGAAGAAATGAGAAAATTTCACAGTAATTTACCATCTTTATTGTACAAAATCAAGAAAAAACCTAGTTAAACACAAACGTAGAATTATAGGATACATTTTGTGGTGTTGCTATGGGTGTGTACGTGTACGTATCGGTGTGGGTGATAATTAGCATGTGTATATTCCCTTCACGCCTACACCGACGAAAGGAAAAGGCCAAGTTTCGGTTAGCCTCGATCAAAATTTTAATTTTTTCACTTTTGCAACCGATACTTGGTCCTTTGATTTCGTGATCGGTCTGTCCGTTGTAAACATAAATAGGTGAGGCCAAGCTGAACAATTCTCAATAAAAACCATGTAGAGTCTCGGGAGTTCTTGATAGAGAAAAATTCTCATCTTTGTCAGTGAATCTTCAGTCTTGGTACATATCTAACTGATTTCATAGGGCATTTTTTTAATGTTAAATTCACTACATGTTTATGATCAGTTATACCAATTACTAATTTCGCATAACGCGTAAGTGCTTCGCAACTAGTTAAGTAATCACAACACCATTGAATTATGGATAATAACTAATTGAATTTGAATATAAGAGTTGTACTAATATTTAGGAATGAATTATTTCTCAAACGATTATTAAGAGTTCGTACTATTGGATCATTACTATTGAATAAACTGTTAGAAAAACAAAAGATAAAATTTAAAAAAAAAGGATTTGTTATATTTTGCTCATGAATGAATACAAGAAAAAAGTGAATATCGATAAAAGAACGTCAAAATATATATTAAAAAAAATTCTTTCAATTGGGTCAATTGAAATAAAATGATTATCCGAATGAAAAAAAAACACAATTGGAGTTTTTACAATGAAATCAAATCAATATTTCATTTCTTCACATATTCGTTTTCTGGTAATGATTGTCCTTGTTGTTGATAAATAAGAACATAAGCCTCGTCACCAATAATTCTATCTTCATTGATTTCTGATACATATGAATCATTAAATGTATGCCATTTTTTATCAATAGAATTTTTTGCATGTGCTGTATAATGTCCACCACCTAAATAGCCCATATGATTACTAACAGCAATTAAGTCATATTTTGCTTTTGGTTTTTCATCTGGATTTAAAACAAATTGCGATAAATCTAAATTACGTATTGGACAATCAACAAATAAATCAATTTTATCACGAAAATAACGCGTATAATTAAAACGTTTTAATTGTACAATTAAAACTTTTGGTAAAAGCCATAAATCAATTTTTTTTGTAGCTTTTTTTAATTCATTACATTTTGGACATTTCCATAGATCATCATCAGATAAGACTTCTTTTTTTGTAAAACATTTAAAACAATCTAATAATGTTGTTGATTGTTTTTGTTGACTATGTGTTTGAATACTAGAAGACATTGGTGAAGAGGGATCTTTTTCTGAACGTTTTTCTTCTTCTCGTTTTTTATATTCATCAACAATTGATGATGCAACATCAATAATAAGTGTTCTACTTATATGAGTAAAATCAATATGATCATCAAGAAGTGATTCTAATGGTTCAGTTTTTGGATAATAACTTTCGCTAAATGTTAATGAAGCAGTATAAAATGGTTTATCTGATGAATCCATTGAAGGTAATGGAAGAAAATTACCAATTGTTTTCTAAAAAATGAATCATAATAAACAGATAAGAAAGTAATTTGAAGACATTTACTATTATATATCATTCTTCATAGATGTCAGATATTATAGTTTATTTATTTCAAAATGATCGCATATATTCATCGGTGATATCTATCAGATTTTTATAACTATAAGGAAAGACTGATTTATATCAAACAAGAACTGGATTTCTCCTTTTATGAGCTAGCTGGATAAGAATAATTTTCATTAAGATCTGCTAAACACTAATCCAAGGCTTCTACAAACGTTGTTGAGATACGATCAAAGATCTTATCAAAGTCCTTGTTTCATTTTTGGAGAGATTCAATAATAATAATAAAAAATTAATTCCGTAGCAATTGTGCTAAAAGCTTTGTGTACTATTCAATATTTGTAAATGAACAATGTAATCTTCAGTCTGAAATAAGGAATAAAATCGAGAATTTACTGGTTTTCTTAAATAAAGTTAGTATATACTCATTGATTGGATAAAATGAACTAAATATATAACAATATAGACAAACTATGATATTTTATGACTTATAAGAGGCAATAATTTGAACTATCTTGTCTACGGTAGTATCATAATTCTAAGTAATTTTGAAGTACATGATAGACAATATACATATATTCCTAGTGGTTCCATACAATCGTTAATTTCTCTCACAGTGAACAAAATTATTTCGATTATTATATGAAAATCTATCAATATAAAAATGTATACATCTTATATCAATAATTTCTTACCTGTAATGCTTCTTGTATATTTCTTCCTTTACAATTATGTTTTGGTACACTAAGATAAATAGGTAAACCAAAATTATAATGATGATATTCATCTCGAAATATACATGGAATTAAAATATTTTCACTATCTTCTTTTTTTAATGAATCAGGTGTTTCATAAAAAACAATTTGATCATATTTAAATATATTTGTTAATAGAGTATTATCTCGATATTGTAAATGAATTCTATGATTGTAAACTTCAACAGGTAAAATATGATCTGGTTTAGGTTTATGTCCATTATAATCATCTGCTTTTGTAAAATCTTCATCTTCATTATTTTCATCTTCATCTTCATCTTCATCTTCATCTTGATTAGTAGTTTCATTTGATTCTGATGCAATATCAATCATGATAGGTTTATTATCATGAATTTTTGTCTTTTTCTCTTGAAAACAATCACAAAATTTTTGAACTAAATTACGTACATGATCATTTTCATTATATTTAATATGATAAGTTTTAATTTGTCCATTTAAACGAACATAGTCAATTTTAAATTGTCGTATATTTGCTTTAATTGGTAATGGTAAACTTAGAAAACAAATTGGATCAAATGTACGTGCTCTTGTTCCACATGTAAGACATTGTACAAGAGATTTAATTTGTCCATAAAATATATCTTGAATTTTTGATTGATTTCGTTTTTGATAATATTCCCATTGTTGATTAGCTAATGTTACATCATCAATTGTTCCATTATCATCTTTTTTTTCTACATATGGTTTTATTTTGATACGATTTAAATCTTCATGTAAACCATCAAGTAAAAATGACATAAATTCTTGTGAATCTTGTTGTGAATAACCACTAAATTGTGGTGCATAATTTGCAACACTTTGTTTTAAAAATTTTGGTGCATAATAATCTGTATTACCTGACCACATTTCATGTATTAATTTACCATATGCTATAGCAACATCACCTTTCATACCTAATGGATTATCAGGATTTATATGTTCTCTATATTCATCATTACAAAAATATTCTGTTAATTCTGGAACATTTGATAAACATTGTAAAGCTGAATTCATGAAACAAGTATTGCCCAAATTTGATAAACCACAAAGTCCACGAGTGAACTCTGTTTTCGATAAAGAATCTATCTCTAATGATAATGTTCGATCTTCATATATGATAAATGCATTTTTTGTTAAACTGATATCTTCAAGAGTTAAATTTGGTTCATCATCAATGGGTTCCCACTTTTGACCATTTTCATCGACTGATGAATATAATTGATAGTTTAATCTTCTTGGAATACAAAATTCATTATGAATATCTTGTTTTATTTCTTCTATTTTTGTTCGACGACTACGATAAATTTGTTTTATATTTGCATTGTCATCTTTTGATTCACGAAGTCGTAATGGTACAAGAAAAACTTCAATTATAGTTTGAAATTGACCTTGTGGGATTACTCTACGAATTATTTCGGGACCGATTTTGGTATATGTCTGTTTTAATTCTCTATAAAGATCATATGGAATGAAGGTATAATCATTTCCTTCAACAGCATCTGAACGAAGTTGAATTTCATTAAAACTATTGACTGTTGCTGGATCAATTAAGGTTGTGAAGTCTATTGGACCTGGTTCAGTGACTTGTTCTTCATCTGATTTATCAATACCAACAAAACGTTTCCAATGTTTTAACCATTTAATATCAATAACCACATATTTATCATCGATTTTCGGCTCCTTTGCAAGTAATTCTTTATATCTTTCCACTAGATTGGACGGCATCATAATACTTGTTATTTTTTTCTTTTAGAAAAATAAAACAACGTTCGAAAGGAAGTAGGTAAAAGAAAAAAAAAGTAAAAGACAAAAACTTGAGGAATGACTCAGATAGTGTTTCGTTGAATCGTCGAGCAAGTGAATGGTGTGAAGTAACGAATGTTTCTTAGACAAAGAAAAGGAAAGAAAAAAAACAACCTCAAATACTGACACAATGTGGTGCAAGACAGCAATACGCTCGAACACATATCGTTAAAGATAACATATACGTCATTACAGACCAATTTTCCTGGGTAAAAACCAACATGAAGCTTTTTTTTCATAAAAATAGATTCATTCACTAGATGCACAGATGATTTGTTGACGAATCTCCTTGCTACCATTTCTTAATAAGTTGTTAAAAATCTCAGTCACTTTCGAATTAGTGTCAATTGTTCGAAAGATAAAATCTCAAAAATCAAGAAAAAGAATCCTCAAATTTGCAAAAGCATAAAGAATGAGAATTTAGAAACAAAAATCTCAACACGATAAAATATAAAAGCAAGTCAAATACTTAACAGACACGTGGTTTATTACTCGTAAGTTTGTTGAAGAATGACAAAAATGTAAAAATAAAGAGTGTGTATATATATACAACATCGACCATTATTGCGATGTTTTACCGCTTTAGTTACAGAGAAAAATTATCAAAAACACAGGGTGTGAGTGTGGATGTGGAAGTGTCGGCTGTGAACCTTCTGTTCACCGACACAGACTCTCACCTTCAATTTTTTATACTCAAATATTCTTTAATAATTTTTTTTAAATAAAAAAACTATATAGGTCTCTATTGTTGCTTTAACATACTCTAGATTCAAGCATTACATTCTATTTGTGATAAAATAGGTTAATTTTTAACAATATTTTTATTATTTCGATTATTTTCCAAATTATAATTTTACAAAGATAACTGTTGTGTTTCTATCATGGTGATAATATTGTTAAACTTAAAAAATCATTTATAAATGTCTAATACGTTATCAAAACATATTCGAATTTTCCTTAGATTGAAAGGCTAGGCTCTAGACACTGTAATCATCTGTGTCTGTCTGTCTGTAACAAGGGCTTGGCACAAATTACCATTTACATGACACAAATGACCACTCTTATGGTACAAATGACAATAAAAATACAACCATCTGCTTATCATCATTCCGTCAGTCTAGAGTCCAGTGAATTGACCTTCGATGTCGATGAACGTTACTTGTTATTTTGACACATCAATATTTGTATAAAATCTACATGAATGCATGCTTATTAAAAGGTAAATAGGTGATAGTAACTGTTCTAATTATCATTTCTAGCGCTGTAATCGATCACTTCTAAAGTTAGACATATTTAAAATCAACAAATTACATTCCACATTGAAAATATCTGATGCATCACCTCATCTGATTAGTTATAATTTAGAGAATATCCGTGAAGCATCATATAAGTATGCGTTTGTTCTATTCTCAGACCGACACATTATATTAACAATGAACTGTTTATTAACTCTCAGCATGCATAGCTCTTTCGCATTATCGTTTATTTTTATTATTCTTCTATACAGAAGACCTCATTCAGCTGATCGATTTACCTGATGAGTTAATTTTAATTATTATGAACAATGTCAAACCTAAGATGTTATTGCTTTGTTCTATTATCACTATTAGTAATAATCGTTTAGAACAACTTGCACTTGATAAATATCATTCAATTGTTATATGAAGTAGTTACTCAAAGGTTTTATTCACATGTCATGCCTCGTATTAGCAATAATATTCAATCATTGATATTAAACATTTAATATATTCGAAACATTATCACTTTTGCTGAAAAAAACTGTAATGGAACTCTTCCAAATTTGATATAGTTGACAATAATGACGGATAGAAGATGTTCTAAAACAGATACGTCTCATACATGGGGTAAATTATTATTAAGTGTATGTTCAATCTGTATTTAAATATCATTTTAGTGCATCTTCTGCTTAGAAAATAAGCAAAATTTTATGATTTCAGAATTTGACAATCTTGGTTGTGGGTGTGGGTGTGGACGACACTAAAGAGAACACCCACACCCTACTTTGGAGAGCCTCCGGTTTATTTGCTGTTCAAATCACATCACATTTACACATAGTCATTCGAATGTCTCAGAGAAGCTTCGAATGTAAACCAAAATACGGCAAGTCAAATGAAAAGGTAGTAACGTAGTGTTGAATCTATTACACAATGTCAGCTATTTTACGGAGCATATAGATATGAAACGATAGACTTTATTTTACAGTTTACCGCGCAAGTAAGTTCATGCGTCTGAGCATCTGTAGAAAAATATAGTAAAAAAAAGTGCAAAATAAGTTATCGCAATTAACTTGTTTTTGTTAATTCTTTCGTTAAAAATTGACCATGAATACATTTTACGATCGAAATTTTGTTACTTGATATAATTCTGCATTCTATTTCACCATGAAATCTATCTTGACCAATGATTAAATCACCCCAGTTCATATTAATAATATTATTATTGTACGTTCCAACACCAGTATGTGACCATCTATTATTTTTATCAATCGCTAACCAATATATTTGATTTTAACAAGCACCAATGATATAACATGATCCATCATCACCTTCCCAACATCCACTTATATCATCTGCCGTTTTCCATTTCATATTTTTATCAATTTCAAATTTATCTAAATATTCGTTTGATATTCGACGAAATTCTGTACCCCAAAATATTTTATTACTATCATATATTATTACCATACTTTGATAAACCAATGATAGTTTTAGTTTTAATACATCAGTATATTTATCATGTGTAAGTGGAAGATCACCCCATTGTATTGTCAATTCATGATCATTATTTACTGTACCATAACCGACATTAGCAAAATTCCATCGTGCTTTGTTTTGTCGTCCAAACCAGAATACCTTTT